AGAGAAAGAGATAAACATCAACTTGAGAGAGACACTTTGATTGGTTGCCTCCTGCACTTGTCCCTACCAGGGCCTGGGTCTGGGAGAAGCCTGCAACCAAGGTACGTGTCCTTGACTGGAATTGTACCTGGGTTCCTTTAGTCCGCAGGTCGATGCTCTATCCAATGAGCCAAACCGGCTAGGGCAGAGATAATTTATTAATAGTATGATTTTATTTTTAGTAGGAGATGAACCTTAGACAATTATAATAGGGAATGGTTTGCTACCAGACTACTCTTTTTTTGAAATTTAAGAGTGATTTTAGTCAGACAACTCTTCTAGGAATAAATTAATGAATACTATCATGCTTCATAGATTAAAAAATGTGTTCGTGGAGTTGTAGGTTTTCCTGTTCTGTTTGATAATGGATTGAAGAGATAAATAATGTTTTTATTTCTTCTCTTTAAAGAGAAAATTGTTTCTGGAAATAACTCTGATATGATGGAAAACAGCAAGGAAGAGGTAAGAATAATTTGAAACATTTAAAATAATTGCTAATAACAACTAGAGTAATGTGATAGATTACATCTATTTAATTCATGCATGTGTTAAATTTACTGTTATACCCAAGTATTATTATGCTACTTCATTTTGGGTAGTTGTTCGTTTTTAGAAGGATATTTATTGATTTTGTTATTATTGTGGTTGAGCAGTATACCAAAAGTCAGACCACTGAAGGCTTGCTAACAGATAGATATTTGAACATTATTATATTGTAACAGTGGTGATCAAGGTGGTTGTTACAGGCAGAATTCCATGATTCTGAGATCTCTCAAAACTGGATAGTCAGGGTATCTTGAGCATTATTACAGGAATCTATCCTGGGGTCCTTCACATGATACCCAGGCCTACACTATGATTTTGGTATTATTTTACCTAATATAAAATATTTAATCCAATAAAATATATTTATTATACTGGCAAAGTAAGAGTAAATTTAGTATCTTAAAGCAAATTGTAGAAGGTATTCTGTGCCATAATTAGGGTAGAGAAAATGACACATTTTTATATCCTTAAAACTCCCTAACTGTTGGGATCTGATTACTTCTAGATCTTTTTTTGTCTTTGTTGACTTGGGCTAAGAACATGATACAGAAGTGTATCCTTTCCCCTCTCACTAAAAGTTTTAAAAAATATATTTTTATTCATTTCAGAGAGGAAGGGAGAGAGAGATAGAAACATCAATGATAAATCATTGATTGGCTGCCTCCTGTATGGCCTCTTCTGGGGATTGATCGGGAATCAAACCATGACCTCCTGGTTAATTCATTGAGCCATACCCGTCTAGGCTCACCACCTAAAATTTAACATTAACAATTTAGTAAAAACTCAGAAAATTATTTTAAATATAGGAAACCTGAGAGTAAATGAGAATTAGATTTTAAAGTTCCTTTTAGAAAAATATTATATATATGTGTTTGAGTGAGTGTGTGTGTGTGTGTGTGTGTGTGTGTATGTTAGAGGCCCAGTGCATGAAATTTGTGCCCTGGGTGGGGGTGGGGCTTCCCTCAGTCCAGCCTCTACAGGCCCAGTCGCCCCCAATTGCCCTCCCCTGCAGTCCTGGTCAACCCCAACTGCCTTCCCCTGCAGGCCTGTTTAGCCCCCAACTGCCCTCCCCTGCAGGCCTGGTCACCCCCATGCCCTCTCTGCCTAACTGCTCGCCTGAGGGCTCAATCACCCCCAACTGCTCTCCCCTGCCGGCCCAGTCCCCCCCAACTGCCCTCCCATGCTGGCCCAGTCCCTCCCAACTGCCCACCCCTGCAGGCCCGGTCTCCCCCAACTGCCCTCCCCTGCTGGCCTGATCACCCCCAATTGCCCTCCCCTGCCAGCCATCTTGTGAGCACCTGGGGTGGCCATTTTGACCACACGGATTCGGACATCTTGTGTGAGGGTGTGACGGTCAATTTGCATATTACAGCTTTATTATATAGGATACACACACACATTCACACACTCACTATATCACTGTATCAGAGGTCTTGGCATAGGTTACTAGTTAATTGTAGGGGTGTTTCTTTGAAAGTCTTAATCACCTCTGTATTTATTTCTCACATTTAGGGATCTAGCTCCTCAGGAAAATCCAAAACACCAGGATCATCACGATCAAAGAGGTTGGTTGATATTGCAGGGAAAAAAGTTAATTTATTTTTCAGGTTGTAGTTTTTTCTAAGAATAACTTTTTTCTAAACTTACTTGAAGTACTGTTTCAAGTAAACTATTTTATACAAACATACATTAAAATGCGCACAATAGTATAATGAATCTTTTATTTATCACGGCTTCAATAATTATTAATTCATTTTGATTTTGAATTTTTATTGAATTTTCTGGGGAGGATTTATTAGGTGCTAGTGGCCTTTATTATATTTATATCACTTATTTTACATCATATATGTGCTTTGAAAAAGGAGGAAAAGGGAGATGAAATATTGAATGCCTCATGAGGCAGTATGTTTTTTTTTAGGGTTATGCGAAATTGTCTGAGATTGGGAGTGGTAGCCATTATAGTTATGAGGAATTTATAAGGAAATCAAAGAATGGTAAAAATACTTACCTGTGTCAAATTGCCAGTGAATTGTACATAATGACTGAAACTACTTCCAAGCATACTATACTGTGTAGCATAATTCTTTTTTAAAAATATATTTTTATTGATTTCAGAGGGGAAGGGAGAGGTAGATAAAGATAGAAACATCAATGATATGAGAGAATCATTGATCTGCTGCCTCCTGCATGTCCCACATTGGGGATCGAGTCCACAACCTGGCCATGTGCTCTGACCAGGAATCAAACCCTGACCTCCTGGTTCATAGGTTGATGCTCAACCATTGAGCCACACTGGCTGGGCTGTGTAGTATAGTTCTTATTAGAAGTTTTCAATTTATTTTATTGGACTTTTGTTGTTTCTGATCAGTGGGACTGTCTCTCTTTTTTAAAACTGTCATGCTCTGAAGCATTTGGGATCATTTAAAAATTTTATTAATAGATTTTGAGAGAGAGAGTGAGAGAAAAGGAGAGAGAAGAGAGGAAGAGATAGAAACATTGATTCATTGCTTCATTGATTCATGCATTCATTGGTTGATTCTTGTATGTGTCCTTACCGGGGATTGAACTTGCAACCAAAGCCGGGGGATATCTGGACGATGCTCTAACCAGCTTACCTACCTGGACAGGATGGGGATATCTTTTAATAAACACAGCTTGATTGTTATTAACTTATTCTCTAAAGTAATGATTCTTAACTGGGAGTTTTCTTCACAATCCCTCGGTAGCTTATTTGAAAGTACATGTTCTGGTCCTACCTACTGAGTTGTAATCTTCAGTAATATGGAATAGAGATGTATGCTTCCCTAGGTGATTTTTATATGTTTTCCTGCTTAAGAGCCACTGCTCAATCTAAACCTGTTATTTATATTCTTTGGGTATTGTTCCAATTGTCAGAGGTGTCCATAATTCTATGGACGTAATTCTTTCATAGGAAACCTTCAATTGTAACAAAGTATGTAGAATCAGATGATGAAAAACCTTTGGATGAGACTGTAAATGAAGATGCTTCTAATGACAATTCAGAAAATGATATTACTATGCAAAGCTTGCCAAAAGGTAATGTGTGTTATTTTTTCATATGAATTTAAGTTGAAATGTATTTTAAAAAATCATTGTTATAAAATTGGAACTTGATTTCTGTTAACTGTGTGTAAAGGACCAACCTGGCACTTTAATAGTGATGGAAATGTATTAGTATGGTAATGATAATATGTTATTGAGGTTATTAATTTAGAATATTCAGTCAGCTTTGAAAGAACAATACTTACTTTGTCTTTTGATTGGGTTCTAGAAAAGGGATTTTAGTTTTCATTATACATGATTTTGGAAGTTGGTTTAAAATTTTAATGTATTAAGTTTTGGTTCAGTAAATTTTAATGTGCTTGCTTTGTAGAAAAACGTAATGAATATTCTGAAAACTTTTTAACAAAAACATTTAAAACTGAGTTTAGCTTTACTGTATTCTTAAATTTGCTAAGAGTCAATGCTAAAGTTAACTATTAAAGATAGATTTAGGTGTATTTTTTGTAATTATCCCTTTAAAAAGCCTTGTCATACATTTCTCGACTGTTGCAGTTCTAACCTTTAAACAGTTAATTGAATTGCGTCAAAACAGCCAAATGAAAATCTTGAGTTTTTCATAGTCCAAGTCTGAGAGCGGAATGATTTCCTCATAAGAGAATGACAAGGGTTTTGGTAATTTCACGGTGTTTCAGAATTAAAAGTTTGGATTATTTTTCTTTATTAAATAGTTTATGGCTCTTAGCAGATTTTTCAAATTTATTTTGACAGCAGTGTTTAGTAAATTTTGTTCTCTGTCTGTACTTATGTTTTTATGACACGTTTTTTGACTACAGAAATTTTAAAAAATGGTGGGTAGGAGGATAAGACATTGCTTGACTAAGACCAATTAGAACTTACAGTATCTGAGGAATGAAGTGAGGAAAAATGAGTAAATGAGAGAAAGAAGAAAGATAGAAGAAAAATTGATGGGCCTACCATTTACATGATTTTGCAAATAATTTATGATAAATATTATATAATGGTTTTGCTAGCCAAGGGCAGAAACTGCTAACATGGGAGTCTGAGTCCTATAGGCAGTGATTCACTTTGGCTTGCTTCATTGTCAGTGGTTGTTACTGGGTGTCTTTATGATGGCCACTGGGTGAGCTAAGAACTAGGAATTCAAATTTTTCTTTTAATGATGTTGTGGAAGAAAGTTAGTATGGGATGTTACTAACTTGACCTAAGCATAATCCTCTCCCACTAAACCAGAAATAAACTCTCCATGAAGTTAAGTTTAGGTGATTGTAATTATTGTTCATAATTATATATTGAGTGTGTACAGATACCAGATTCTTACAAAATTAACTCATTTAACCCTCAGAACAGTGCTGTAAGGTAGATATTGTTTCTATTTGTAGAGATGAAGGGACAAATTCAGAGCTCAAGGCACTTTTTCAGCTTTAAATTGAGAAGCTAGAATTTGAACCCAGGTCTGCCTGAATCCAAAGCTAGTGAATGCTCTTTCCACTCTGCTGCTTTGCTTCCATTTAGAGGAGAAACTTCAGAAAGAATCCTAATATTTTTTGTTAGTTATAAATCTTCAACTTTTTTCAAGTGCTGTGGCTTCTCTGAGTATATATGTGAAATGGTTGTTGTTGATTAAGTTTTTTGGAGGTTGTGTAAATTCACTCGTTTGTAAAAACTCAATCCTTTGTGTCTCCTTCCCCTTTTCTCAGAAATTCATTTAACTAGATTGCTATTCCTTGCGAAAATCCGCTTGCTGAATAACACGGACACATGGGTCAGGGGAACCTCCCCTGACTACCAGGTTTTACTTTCTTAATTGTTGCCATAATGCACAATTATTAAGCTCAGCAATGTAGATAAATGTGAGACTTGGACCCTTTTTCTATATCCCTGCTTTATTTTTTCTTGAGAGATTAAAGTGAAAAATTAAATGAACAACCTCTGTCTTAAATTCACATGCTTTATAGCTAAGAAAGTATAGTCTTTCTAAAATATTTCCATAGGGACTAACAATTGTTGTCATCCTACAGTTTCTTATTAGAGCACTTAAACTTAAGTATCTCAAAGAAACCTTTTGTATGGAACTCTTTAAGAATTTTGTAGGTTACTGAAACTTTGACATACTAGTTGGGAAAGGCCTCAGAATAGTTATAGCAATAATAGCAGAATTAACTTCTCACATTGCCCCCCATTATTCTCATCCAAAGCAATATAAAACATCTCTTAATAATCTTTTTCTCACTTTGTAAGTTATATAAATGTCTAATCACTGTGTTGTACAGCTGAAAATAATATAATATTGAATGTCAACTATAATTGAGAAATAAAAAGAAACCTCAAACATCTTTTTTTGTAGTTTAGAATTTGGATTATGAGAAGAATAGGGTATTTTTAAAATTTCCCATCTGGTCATTTTATTTTATAAACTCTTTATGGAATTTAGCATGGATGTTCATATAGGCACTATAAAAATCAGAATTGGGCTGAGACTTTCTGCTTTATTCACACATTTATGTTATTACTTTATAATACCTCCCTCTCCCATTTTTATGAGCAATATTCCAAAAAGTAATCTGATTGTTGACACCTGGCCCTTTTACTATTTCCCTGTTTTATTTTCACTTAAGAGGTCCTTATACAAGTATTGAAAGCTTGAAAGAAACAAAACTATGTACCAGCAATGTTGGCTTTATCTGAACTGAAGTCTTGTACTTCACGTGCACATTTAATATGTGTAATGGTTTTTTAAATGAAATCATTCTAGGTACAGTGATTGTACAACCAGAGCCAGTGCTGAATGAAGACAAAGATGATTTTAAAGGGCCTGAATTTAGAAGCAGAAGTAAAATGAAAACTGAAAATCTCAAAAAACGCGGAGGTAAATACAAATGAAAATGAAAACATGAATTTAAATTGCTGTTTATGACCATATTGGAAAATCTGATGTGCTTACTAAAAATACCTCCACTTTTCTGCCCATTGTTTATTAAAAGCACTACTTAAAAATAACTTCTGATTCTCTCTGAGCTCTGAAGCAGAAAAGGTTAATACCATTTATCAAAACACCTTTGCCTTCAGTGGCTATTAAGTTATCTCCAGAAGATTAGTATTTCCTTCTTGCACATGTTAGTTCTGTATTGCCTATATGTCAGAATACTATGTGTTCCCTCAATCCGAACTAATTTTAGATTTGGACAAAATCTTGCCTGTGGCCTTCATGTAACTTTATACATATCTAAAACATTGTTTCACAGAGTGATGAACATTTGCATTAGTGTTACCTGGGGTGCTTTTTAAAAATTCAAGTCCCTTGACTCCATTCCCAACAAATTAGAATTTCTAGGGATGATGTCAGAAATTTGTCCCAGTTTCTTCTTACGTACATTAAAGTTGGAGAGCTATTGATCTAAGGATAGCAGTGCAGGTTGAGTAGAAAAGATAAGGGAGCTACATTTCTCTGAGTCGTCTCTTCCTTTGTCTGTCTACTCTCACTTATACACACAATTATATTGGCTTATCATCTGTAGAAAGTTAGCATAAGAAGAATTCATTTAGAAATTCATGACAATGGAGTATGTATCCCATTGTTTGTGATTTTTAAATAGTGTCTATATGTATTTTGGGGGCATGTTAACAGAGCCAGAATCCATGACTATAAAAGGAACCAATCTCTATAAGATAGAACATGACACTAAACTTCTGAGTAGAAGTGTAATGGATGTGTGTCTGCTTAATATTTACCCTGTTCATTGTGAAATTATAGCATGGTTCTTATATTGGTGAAATTTTTTGTAGATTTTTATTTCAGTGCTGTATGATTATCTTGATAGGACTAGTAAAACATATCAGTATTTATAAAATTTATGATCAGTTTTCAGGTTAAATAATTTATTAGTTGTGAAAGGAAATCAAGGAAATGTTTAGTTTTTTTGTCCACAATGGGGAGTTCTATGTCTTTCAAATATAAGAAAGATTTATTGAGTATCTAGTTTATAGAAGGGTAATTACTATTGTAGCAACAAAACTCGCCGAAACTAAATAGTATTCTAAAAACAAGAGAAATGGCAAGTAGAAAATGATAGTAAGGACCAGTAGCAAGAGTTTATTTTTTTCTGATCATGGGTCCTCTAGACAGGACACATAATTAAGTGTACTACATTGTATTAAAATTAATACCTAAATGGTGTCTTCTGGGGAGGGACTCTGGAGCAGCCAGTGTTTGAAATATGGATAAGGAGATTAAAAAAGAACCGAAGTTTTTGGGGAGGGTGTTCCTAGTGCCACTTTGATATGCTGCTGGTATTTGATCTGAGCTGATAAGTTTCTGGAACATTTTATTGAGTGTTCTGTATAAGAATGTTTACATTGTGCTTAAGGAAATACCTATTTTATAGCCATATTGTAGGACTTAAATCTTTTATGTTTGTTTTTGTCTGAATAATTTCATATATCTTTAAGCTGTCATAAATCACACAGAAAATTTAACTATGTTCACTTATATATACTTGTATGAGTAAACTAGTGATCTGAAGTACTGGGTTGCTAGTTAATATTCAGACTTCCAAGGAAAGTTAGCTCAAAAATTGAAGCCTAACTTAGGAAACTGTCAAGAATGTAAACTATATATAAAATATTCTTTTTTAAAAAATATATATTTTATTGATTTTGTACAGAGAGGAAAGGAGAGAGATAGAGAGCTAGAAGCATCGATGAGAGAGAAACATCAATCAGCTGCCTTCTGCACACCCTCCACTGGGGATGTGCCCGCAACTGAGGTACATGCCCTTGACTGGAATCGAACCTGGGACCCTTCAGTCCACAGGCCGACGCTCTATCCACTGAGCCAAACCAGCTAGGGCTATAAAATATTCTTATATTGATTTGAAATAAAGTTAAACACAAAGATATAGCTATTTTGACCATTTTAGGAGCCACTGTTGTTTAAGTACCATAGTCTCTTTTGACATCCTTTTCCTAGTTTAACTATTTGAAAATATACTTTATATCTGATTTTCTATATTTCTCAATAATTTTGTTTCCTCTTTAAAATTATTAAAATATATTGAGTTAAAAAAACACAATGCTTCCTTTTTATGTATATACTGTATTATAATCATTAAGATTTTATATCTAAAAATAAAAATTTAAAACACATATAGAAACAAGTACGTAAATCAAAGGAATATTTCAGTGTTTTACAGTATTTGCTTAGCTGAAATATTGGTTCAGTCTTACTCTCATCAATTTCCCTTTCCTACCACCCTTCAGGTAATGATTATCTTGAAGTTTGTATGCATGCGTGTGTGTGTGTGTGTGTGTGTGTGTGTGTGTGTGTGTGTGTGTGATTTCCATGCATGTTTTATGTTTTTTCTGTACATATATTCATAAAGCATTTATTTTTCTTTTAAACATATACAAAATAGTATGTTGTATATATACTTTTGCAACATTTTCCATTCAGCATTGTTTTTGAAATGTATCCATGCCACTAAGTGTATATCTAGTTGTTTTATTTTTTACTGCTTTGTAGAATTCTGTTGTATTAGTAAACAACTATTTCCCAAATGTGACGTTATTTCCAGTTTTTTCCTAATTTCCTAATTAGTACTGCAGTGACTATCCTCTATATGATTCCTTGTGCACATTTGGGAGAAATTCTTCAATGTATCACCTAGTTTTATTTAATTCTTGAGTGTTCTATGTGCAAAAAGCACATAGAAGATGCTTAATAAATATTATCTAACATTGAGTGAATATTCATACTCTGGCTTTTATTCATCTTGTTTATCTGAAAGTAATTATTTTAAATGAAAAAGCACACTGTATATTTATTTATGTTAAAACATAAAATATATGAATACTCAAGATCAAACACTAATGCAGAACAATATGACCTAAAATATAATGTTAGCAGCTTATGTAGTAATTCAAATTCTCTATATTTTCTGGAAAGTATGGTGGTACCCTTATACCTTCGATAAACTTTTGTAACCTCTGCAAAATAAAAATATTTGTGATAATATTTGGGCCCATAAGTGATTTGGACCTTAAAAGTAAGAAAACAAAATAAGAAATTAATAGGTGAAAAATGTTATGTTGTTTTTATCTTTTATTTAGGGATAGACAGTTTGTATTTTTTGTTTTAGTTGTCTCTCTTTTACTTGTGAATGCAGACATTTTATTGGCTTGTTTTGAATCATAATCTACCTCCTTACTTTGATCAAGATCTTGGTTGCAAATCAGAATCATTGCTAAAACTTAAAAATTTTTTTAGGGGATTTCCATTTAGTAGTTTAGGGGTTGGGGATGACTATCTGATTTTTAAAAGGATTCACCAGATGATTCTAATGTTCAGCTCAGATTGCGAAGCACTGTCTTAAGCAGCACGAGGGATGAGAGTGAGGCAGTAGAGGTTTCCTCTTATGATTTGTTCCTTAGGTTACCTTCAATCTGTTTTTCTGCAAATACCAATGGGGCTGTTCCTTCCTTCCTTCAACCATTCTGCGCTTTTGCTGCCAAGATAGGTGTACCTACAAGTCTTATTTGGAAATAGTCAGTGCAGCTATGGAGTAGACAGTGGAATAAACACAAAAATAAGGCAGCTTAATGGGAATTGTGCATAATATTGAAGTAAATCTTGGGAACAAATTGGTAATATAATATTATCAGGTTTTCACATACTATATTGAAAATAACTGTGTAGATAAATCTATTTTGAGAATAAAACCTATATGGCATACCTAACTTTAGTATAGGGTTGAAAAAGAATCTGTTCTATATATATCACTCGGTTCTTGATTCTTCAAGATCTGAATTTATTTGAAAATTAATAACAAAATGAAGAGTTCTTCACCCCTGTTTTTAGAACTTCTTTTATGGAGTCTCATGTTATATTGAGTTGTGAGAAATAGGGTTTGCATTTGTAAAGGGAAACAAGTTAGAATTTGTATCTCTGAGATTTGCTAAGATTGTCATATTTTCAGTAAGTTAATAAAATTATTAACCTTTGTACTTATGTCCAAATGTCATTTTCCCAAGGATTATGATATATTTCATTTCCAATACGAAAGGTGCAAAATTATGACCAATGTAAATATCTTTTTGTATGTATGTGTATGTGTTAATAACAGCCACTCATTTCTTCTAGAAGATGGGCTTCATGGGATTGTGAGCTGCACAGCTTGTGGACAACAGGTCAATCATTTTCAAAAAGATTCCATTTATAGACATCCTTCCCTCCAAGTACTTATTTGTAAGGTATGTAATGATCTGTTGATAATTCATTCCACAAATAATTGAATGCTTACCATGTGTCAGCACAGTGTTAGAACTTTGGTCCACAGTGCTGAAGAAGAGGGCTAATATTGTAAGTGGGGAAGACTGCCCAATTAGTGCCATGATAGGGGAGATATTGGGAACACACAGGAAGCCTGTGTAATTTGGATTTAGGTGGGTGGGGGGCTTTATAATGAACACTAGAGACCCGGTGCCCAAAAATTTATGCACTCGGGGAGGAGGGCCCTCAGCCTGGCCTGTGCCCTCTCGCAGCCTGGGAGCCCTCAGGGGATATCCACTTGCCAGTGGGGAGCAGGCCTAAGCTGCAGTCGGACATCCTGAGCGCTGCTGAGGAGGCAGGAGAGGCTCCTGCCATCACTAATGTGCTGGAAGCCGTCAGCCTGGCTTGTGGCTGAGCAGAGCTTCCCCTGTGGGAGCACACTGACCACCAGGGGGCAGCTCCTGCATTCAGCGTCTGCCCCCTAGTGGTCAGTGTGTGTCATAATGACCAGTCATTCCCAGTGGTTCTGCTTTTAGGGTCAATTTGCATATTTCCCTTTTATTATATAGGATGATATAAAATAGAATCTGAAATATAAATAGGAATTAGCCTGATGAAGTGGGATTGGTTCAGCTTATTCCAGGCAGAGGCAAGATGGTGTTCAAAGACTGGTAAGTAAGGGAGAGTGTAGTGTGTTATAAAATCTGAAGAGTGTATTTATATGCATATGTATGTTTTATAACCTTTTTTTCATGGATAAACATTAGTTTTTAAAATTTCCTTTCAATTTCAAAAAATGCACACTTACATAATTGAGATCAGACTGAATATATAATTTTATATCTATTAAATTATAAACATTTTCTTTTTTATTGAATTTATAGGGGTTACATAATAAAATTAGCTAGGCTTCAAGTATACAATTTTATAATATACTAGAGGCCCTGTGCATGAAATTTGTGCATGAGTAGGGTCCCTAGGCCTGGGCTGCAATCAGGGCCTATGGGGCCTTCTGGCTGACAGCAGGGGCCTTCCTTCATTCTGCACCGATTCCATAGCGAGCGATCGGACTCCTAGTTGAACTCCCGTGGGGGCAATTTGCATATTAGGCTTTCATATATATAGATCATCTGTAAATTGTATAGTGTGCTCACCACCCAAAGTGAAGTCTCCTGCCATCATCATT